GAGTTAGGTACCTAGGCTCAGCATAAGCGCCTAAATGAACTTGCATGTTACAGTCTTCCAGAAAGACATCAAGATCCAGGTCTACAACACATTCATCAACCCCACTCTCCTTTATGAATGTGAAACGTGAGTGACCTACTGTTGTCATCTCAAGAGCCTGGGAGTTGCTGGCTACTAGCCAACTCCAGTAGTGCCACAACCTCAACCAAGTGGCAGTCTACTTCAAGGTAAAGCGTCTTGCTGTCAAAACAGAGAAGAGAGAGTGGAAGAAGGAAAATGAGATAAATCTTGGCCTAAAGCCTATTCTCTTAAAACTAAAAGCTTGGCCTAAAGCTTCTCAAATGCCCTTTCTGTGAAAAGACCTGCAGACAGATCTGTGGCTCCAGGGCTGGACTCTTATGTCACCTCAAGACCCATCAACGAGCAGTAAAGATCATCCTCAAATCGATGAGTAAAAGCAGTTGGAAACAGTGGAGGAAAATAGACTAAACTTCTAGTTGGTCTCAGACCGTGGCCTGCAGCGGTTCTCAAGCCATGGTCCATAAAGCCATGATAATCATCTACAGAATTCACTGGCCTCCTCCCTTTTTCACGTGAAAGGTTGATAGTAAGTGTGAGTGGTGGTCCACAAGAATTTGAGGGCTGACTGTAGTTTGTTGGTCCAAATTTCGGGGGATCTCACATCTTCCCAAACCCGTAACGCTTCCTTCTGGAGAGAAAGAACTGGCTCCTGCCTGCAACAAAGCCTGCTCCAAGTGATTCTGGCTGGCAGAGAGGTAGGCCGATGCTGTGGTGGCCTTGAGGAAAGAACAAAATGATGGCATGGAGGAAAACAGGGAGCAATAAAAGACATCTCCAGAGGTCCATCAGGGAGGCGGAAGTTGCATCCTTTTGTGGGCAGAGAAAAAGGAGAGTGGAACAAAAAATGTAGCACAATGTAATCATTCTCCAAGCAAGGATGGTAAAAGTGGTCCAGGGATAAGTGATGCCACACAAGCCCTTTCACTTCCTAGGGCACCCATTCAATTCCTTACTGAGTTGTTACCTGCTGGCATATGTGAAATCAATTTGGTGGTCTCGGTCCAGGGGCCAAGGGCCATTCTCCACAACTACCAATTCCCTACTGAGTCTAGCTGGCAGCCACCCCTTCTTAGCACTCTCAGGGGGAAGGGCAAGGGCTGTTATTGTGGGACTGCCCCACTGAGTTAGGATTGAGGGCCTGGGGAAGGGCAGGGGAAGTTGCTGCTGCCTGTGCTGTAGCTATTCTGTGGGGAAAGAGAGGGACTGGATGCCGCTCCCAGCACAAAAGTCAAATGGATAGTAAAAAAAAAATCCAAGATCTGTCCAAACCAGCAGCCCACTGGACTAGCAGGGGTGAGCACACTAGTCTCCTCCGCATCAAACACACGAGAGCGTGTCTGGCTGGGTTCCTCTTACCACAAGAAAGAATCAGGGTGGGTGTTTGTGTCCCTTGGCAGGCAAATGCTCTTTTGAGACCATGAGGTTTCAGCAGTAGAGAAATAGTGGGGAATTCCTGAAGGTGTTTAGGCGGTGGTGAACCTGCCATCCTACAGCTGCTCCTACAGCCTCTGACTTGTGAGCAGCAGTCACAGCTGCTGTATTGCCTCCTTCCTAGGAAAATGGCCTGTGGATCCACACAACAGTGTTTCTCCATCTTCCTCTGATGCATCTAGTGCTGCCCAGTGTCATAGAGAAGATACTAGATGGACCACAGCTCGGTCCCAGTACCTCAGTCCCTCTCTTTCTAGTTGCAGTGTCTATAGGCCCTTTCAGCGAATCCCTCAGTTCAGTAAACGATATAGATCTTTTAACTGGGGCCTGATCTACAGTGCAAGATCTCAGATGCCATTGCCCCTCAATGATGGCCCACCAAGAGCCTCTCCTGAGCTATCTACTGCATACAGGGGCTGCTGCCTTCTCTGTGGGCTCCCCAAATCCACCTGGAACCTCAACTGTGGGAAGAGGGAGCAGGGGTATATGGTTAGTACCCAAATAGATAACAAAGTAGCATGGCTGAACAGAGCTAGACAGTCCTCCACCTGCCTCACTTCTTCTACCTTGCGTCCTGCAAGCAGGACACAATGATTGTCCCTGCACCAGCCCTCTTCCCTACCTCCCACTCATTCCTGAGAGCTGGAGTTCTCATAACTCACAAATGACCGGATTACTATCATGTGCTTGCTCACTTGCTTGCTCTCTCTCTCTCTTTTTCAAACCAGCTTCTGAGCTGAGGTTATTTCTGCCAAGTTTCTGCCTGGCGTGAATTTTTACAACAGAGTTATAAACGTCTGAAAATAGACGCTTGCAGTGGAAAGGCTGACACACCCTATATGGTGCAGATGAATGGCAGAGCTGTAACGAAAAGCCAGTCAAGAAACTGGGCCATGCAGCTGGGAGTGCTTAATACAAGCCACATACAAATTAGCCTGAGGGGGTAAAGAAACTGGAGGTACAACAGGACTTAGGGCAGAGAATCTCCTGTTTGCTTTTCTCATTGCCGGGCATTTGGTTAGCCTTCCTTGGGCTCGCATGGTTTCATTCCAAGACTCTTCACAAATTTGAGACTCCTTTCGCAAAAATAGCCAACTGGCTTTGATTTCTGCATGCAAAACTACCCAAAGTCTCGACAAGAAGCTGGGAGCCGTGTTGCATGCCACAGTGTCATTAGTGAGGGTGCATATTTCAGAGCAAAATCCTCCTGGGACAGATAACAAGGGGGTGATAAATTAAGCTTCTCAAATGCCCTTTCTGACTCACTTTCTCCAGCTGGCAGGATGATTCAGTGTCATGTGTGGAAGGCTGCAGGGTCTTGCTTACAGGCTTAGGCAAGCATGGGCTGCCTGTGCTAGGAACACAAAATCTTGCTTCCTCCACGATAACATGAATGAGTCTCTTCTGTCAAGCAGGCTTAGACCTGTGCAGGGGGCCCTCGGAGAGAGGCTGCTGCCAGAAGGACCTGAGTCCCAAGAGATTTATCAATCCTATTCCAACAGCTCAAAGTTATTTTTTAGGGGTGTATCATTAAAGACTAGGCCCCAAACTGTCTCGAGGTGCTCTGGGTTTTAAGGCCAGAAGGAAATATTATGGCCCAGACCACAGTTAATTCACCCAGTGGATTTCAGGCAATGAGCTGAGTGGGGAAAAGGCTGGGCAGACAGAATTAACTGTGCATGAGCCTGGTCCCAGACCCTCCCTCTCTCTGTGCTCAGAACGTATTCCTCAGTAACCCATGGCCAGAGATGGCTCCCCAGTGGACGGATGGGGCTGGCTTGCCCCTATAGGTCATAGGGATTGCCTGGCCCCTTCTCTGTGTGTGAACAGAGGTGAGCACAGACAAGCTCTCATTCTGGGACACCCAGCTGTGCCACACAGAGATTTCAAGATCCACTAACAGCTGTTCCTGTGAAGGCTCCTGCCACTTGCTCAGCTCCTTTCTCAGCAGCTCTGGGAGGTGCAATGGCTCCCTCATACCCAACAGCTGTGTTTCCAGTCAACACCTGGTGGCCGGGCTTTGCTCTTGCTCTTGCCAGCATGAAGCAGGCCCAGTCCAACTGCAGGGCCAATTCAGCCCTCAACTGAACCAGTACCCAGACCACTTCAAGGGACATGTGCAGAAACCCAGGTATGACTGCATGTTAGAGGCCCCCTCAATCCACAGGACTGACCTCAGTGTTCACTTGGGCTTTCCAGGGATGAGCAGCTTTTGTAAGGCCAATATGGAAAAGTACAGGGATGCCAAGTTTGTTCTGTACAGAGGAACAAATCACACCCTCAGTTCAATGAAGGACTTCTCAACCCATGCAAAGCTGCCACTGTGATCAGTAGCAAGTCTGCACCAGATCGATCACTCAACTTTTACTAGTAAGCCAAGCTACTGCAGCAGCATTCAGTAGGGAAAACACAGTGCAAGGGACTTCTAGGACCACCACAACCATCATCCGTTGCTTGACTGGCCACTTGCACCTGTAATCACAGTAAATGCTCAAGCAGCTTTAATATGCAGCTGCGCATGCATTTGCCCTATCAAGTTCTCAGCAAATTTAAAATCTTCAAGTCCCCTAACGAGACTTTGGTCATTGGCATGAACTGCTCCTCAAAACTACTCCTCAGACCGGACAGGACAACATGAAGGCAATATTACTGTCCTACAAAGCATTGCTGTATTGCTATTTTGACAAGCCTCTGCAAAATCTGACTCTGTTATGAAAACAAGTTAAATATACCCAACGATAGTCAGGCAGGCTGGGTGTTTAAAGAAGTACGAAGGCAAGGGCATGTCCTTAAGCTCAAATCTGTTTCTTCTGTATTTTTTTTCATTAAGTTGCCCTCCCTACACAAACACTGAAATGCCTAATCTAGAAGTGTTTGTTCTGGACAAAGCACGTTGAATTCAGCATGGATGCCTCTCACTCTCTCACAGATAGCCGTGTAAATAATGCACTCTGATAACTGGTGGGAGGGACACAAACCTCCCAAGCAGTGACATTTTTCAAGATCATATACATTTTCTCATTTCTTACCCAGGTGAACCCTAGGCCTTTCAACAATTTTTGGTACGAAAAGCTAGAGAAAGGGAGAGAGAGAGAGAATAGTCAATGAATTTAATTTAACGAGCACTTCTCCTTACTTATACACGACAGAAAAGCTCCAGTTGGAGAGACTACAAGAAGCTCCTGCAAAGTAGTCAACAGTCCAGTGGCCAGGTCACTCACCTGACTTTCTGTATGTGTGATTCAAAGGAAAGACACAACAGTCAGCGTCCAATATTCACAGAGAAGTGCCCTAACTCTGGGCTAAAGGCTGCTCTGGGACAGATTGAATTCTTTCTTGTTTTGGCTCGGCAGAAGGTAGGGCTGGGTGGCACCTCAGGGACTAAGTAGTTCAGAAAGGCATGAGCTTTCTTGGGCAACAACCTACTTCTTCCAATGCTAGGATCAGAAGAAGTAGGTTGTTGCCTACAGAAACTCATGCCTCTCTAAACTGGTTAGTCTCTAAGGTGCCACCCTGCCCTATCTTCGGCCTGTCTTCAGACCAACGTGGCTAACAACAAGCAGAGGCAGGGACTCTTTTTTTGAAAATTTCCAGCCAGCACTAAACAAAACATTAAATTCCCCTTCTCCATTTTTATGAAAATGTTACCCCTGGGATTTCCTGCATTGCTAGAGGCAAGGAATGAAATCCTGACCTCAAAGTCATTGGTAAAATTCACTTCTATGGGGCCAGGATTTCACCCTAAGTTTTCTGTTTATGAAAATTAATGAAACCTGACAGATGTGTAAGTGAACACTCCTAATTTTTTTTTATGAAGCATCTGCTTTTATTTCTACCTGTTGATAACCCAAATATACATTTAAACCAATGTTTGGATGCACTTTCCCCGCTAATATAAACTTGGGATTTATGTAGATACCAAACATACAGAATTAAAACCTGCAAACCAAATCCTCATGCGATGTAAATGAGCAGAGCTCTTTAACTTCCGTAAAGCAATGCCGGTTAGCAACAACAGAAAATCTCAGCATACGTCTTGAAACAATGGTGTACTTCTCTGCTATTCCTGTGTAAAATGTACCATGAATTAATCTGCATTGGTAGCATATGCAAAACACAGTGCAATCAAAAAGAAATAAAAGTGATATATTGAAAATATCAGGAGAACATCTTGTAAAACGATTTCAGCCCTAACCAGACAAGTCTTCTCAAAACTTTTCCATGTGAGTCTTAAATTCTTCTGATCTGTAGATGTCAGCATTTCAATATCACTTTCCTCATTTTACAGATGGAGACACTAAGGCACGAGAGGTGAGGTGACTTACCCGTGTCCACCTAGCAGAGCCAGGAATAAACCTAAGTGTCCTGCATCCTAACTCCATGCTAGATTCACTAAGCTATGCTGCTGATGAGAAATGATACCTGCTTTTAAAAATGAAACTTCACAGTTATTTACTTAACACCTTTACACACAGTAAAACTAACCCCAATGCTAGGAATGTTAGCCATTCTCCGAATAGTCCCCCTCTGTAGTGGTTCTTGAGAGTATGATGCTCTGACGACTGCATCCACTAAGGACGCCTCTGTGGGACGATGACATCAGGTTGTACGAGTAGACGGAGGAGCTGCTCTGCATTGACCTTTCCTCTTCCTCGTCCTCCTCCTCCTCCTCCTCCTCCTCCATCCCCCCAGTAGGCATGAGTGTATGACGATTGAACTTGCTGCGCAGGGCTCCAATGATGCCCACCCTGTTTCAAAAGGTGCCATTATTATAATTGAAGCCACAAGGCAAAGGCAAATTTGCTGGGCGGGGATTCCATTTTTATGTGGGAAAACTGCAAAGAAACTCTTTTGGTTGGATGGCTGGTAAAACACCACCCAAGGGAAACTCCCCACCCTCACCCCCACAAAAGACTAGCACATCATACAAGTCATCCAGAGTATCACAGTAATGTTGTTAACTAGAGAAGGAACATGCCCAAAAGGGTCCAGAAAAAAATGACACTCAGGTTTCACTCACACCCCCCAGCCACAAAGCACCCTATCAATATAAACTCTACAATGTGCCACCAGGCAAGGGCACTGCCAGTAGCAGGACGTGTCTTAGGTTAAAATAGGCTCTAGTGACCACTGAAAGAGGACCCCAACCTACACTGTAGAGGAAAGCAAAAAACCCCAGTGTTCCTTGCCAAACTGATCTGGGGAGGAAAGTCCTTCCCGACTCCAGATGTGACAATTAGTATGACCCTTGCCTGTTTGAACAAGACCCTCCACACAGGCCCCTGAGAGATTGCTAAGGTCCAGCAGCATTGGGGCATCCAAATCAAGCTCCTAATTCTAGCTGTGGCCATTGGCAATAAAGGAAAGCAATAAAAAGGCAAAAACTGTCAGCCAAACATAGCAATCATGAAGGGGAAAAAATTCTTTTTGGCCCTATAGACAACAAGCAGAAGTGCCAAAGCATGGAGTTACCAGATACCTCCCACAGAGACTGAGTTTTCCCTCAACCCTATCATGAGTCAAAATGATGAACTGACACATCTTATGTGCTAATTACTGTTCCAAAAACACCTCTGTCCTATAAAGTTATCATCCCGTAAACTTACATCTTGAAACAATTCAGGTTCCTTGTCCCCACTGCTTTGCACTGGTTGGAAAGTGGAATTACTATCCCATGGAAAATTGCAACATTTCAATTTTTTTCATGGAACAGAAATTTATGAAAAAAATTAACTGGAAATGTTAAAATAACCTCACTGAAACATTCTGGTGTAATGTTAAATGTAATATATATAAGTGTAATATTAAAATTAATATTATATACAACATAAAAATCAGGGCAAAAGCAGCAAATTGGCACCAATCAAATTGATCAAGGTGAAATGAAATACCAAGTTCAATTTTGAGTTCTTTCAAAACATTTCCGTTAAAAATTTCATCAAATGCCACTTCACTTTCCCATAGAACATTTCACTTTGAATGAAACAGTGCTTTCCACCAGAAAACTGTCTCATCAAAATGTTTCTGGCAAACTCTTCTTCTGGCTTCCTTTTACGTTGCATTGCCTGGCTGGAAGAGCAGAACCACAGAGACATTCACTCCGTGTCTACAATACCTCTTCCCCCAGACCAGTGACAGAGCATGTGTTTCAGCATCTTCAGAACTGCTCATCGAATGGTGAGGGGAAGGAGCACAGTAGTTCTCCTGACCCTTATGCTGCAGATAACGTGCCAGGCAGAAAACAAATAGAGAAAGCATGGGAGCATGGAACAAACCAGGGGTGTTCAGAAGGATAAATTAGACCCTATGAAACAATGTTGGCACCTTCCTAGGGGCAAGAGGAAGGTATTGACAGTCGGCATAGTGTGCGAGAGGAGGCCTGAGGAAGACTGTGCCATTAAAGTTGCCTTAGTTGTTGCAAGTATGAGTTACTGCAGGTTTTTGGAAGCCACGCACACTACTGCCCTTATGTACGTCCCAATGAATGGGAGTGCAGGGAGCCCAGGGCAATCCAATATGAACCTTTTAGAGTGATCATTTTCACTTCTGGCCTTTCACTAAACGGTCTCAAGCAATGAGGAAGCTCTAGAGGGGAGGGGACTCGGCGGCTCTGTCTGTCCTGCTCCCAACCCCTTCTCTCCAACCCCTGAACCCTAGCTTGCGGGTAAGCACCAGAGCTGGGCTCCATAGCAGGCAGGGAGTGCAGGCTCCCCAGCACTTGTTCCAGCATGCAGGGCAGCTGCCTTGGTCCTGCTGGAAGCAATATGGCTTCCCCAGAAAGCAGGGTTATGGGATAGGAGAGAAGAACTTGGGAGGCCGCAGAAGCAAGCCACTGGATCCCCTCTACTCTAAGTTTTGCCATCCATTACTTAAGCAATGTCTATAGTACAATCCCTACTATAACTAGGGACCTACTTAAATCACAGTGAAACTAAAAAATGTTCATGGTTTGGTCACAGCAGAAATTTTACGGCTATTTCCCGGACGTACTCCGTCGGCCCCGCCCCTTGGTGCCGATTGGTGGAGAGGCCCCAACGGGGATAGAGGGACGAGCGAGCAGCCGCCACCTCGTCTGCTGCTCTTCCTGCTGCCCTGCCAGCCAGCGCTGTACCCCTGCCAGCCAGGCTGCCAGGCCAGGCCACAGCAGCAAGGACTGCTAGCTCCCACTGGGGAAGCCAAAATTTTATTTTTATTAAGTTTTTTTTTAAGTTGCTTTCATGGACAATTCTGGATTTTGCAGTTTCTGTGAAATTGCAATTTGAGTAGACCCCTAACTATAACTGCAACAAAGTGCAGTCAGATCCAAGCTATCTTTAAACTAGGTAAGTTTGGATACTAGAAGCCATATAACTGTAACAGCTACACAGCTCGGTGTGGGGAGGGAGTGAAGCCAAGCAGCAGGGTAAACTGGCTCACGTGGAGCTGTAGGCTGCTGTGGCTGGACTGCTACCAGTATACCTGAGCTACCTGCTCTGACACTAATCTGGTCCTGTGTGCAACACTGACAGCTGGAGAGATGCACCCTTATTCTGACAACCCCCAGTGAGGAAAGCTCAACAACTTCTAGACCTTCTTTGCACACCCACCACCAGCCCCCATGGAAACAGCTCCTTACTTGGGTGTAAACACAACTGCTGTGACATCCATGTGATCCTTGCTCTTGCTGGCGGGAGCGGTCCTTCCCCGGTGGAGGTAATGGTTCTGGAAGAGATACTGGGCACTGTCCCTGGGCAGGGGCAACAGTGTGCTGAGCACTGGCGAGCGCTGACCCACCACACTCATTATGGCTGGACGCCTGGCATACAAGCTCCTGCAGAGAAAGCCAATGCAGAGGGCACTTGCTCGTTGGCCCATGATGCAGGCCCCTTCACGTGCCCCAGTAGCAAGCCACATGCTGTACCTGTCATATGGAAAGAGCACTTTCCTCTGATCTGCAGAGGCCTCTGTTGACCACTGCACACCAGGGTACCTCTTCTCTTTCAGTGCGGGATTGAATACGTCAGAGCGAAGCAGCCTGCCGATTTCCTCCTGAATCTCCTGGAAGTGTTTGCGTCTGAACGCCACCCAAGCCACATATGTGCAAAAGTTGTAGAAGCACTGAATGGAAAAGACAAACCATCATGCACGGCTGTGCAACAAACAGTGGGCTCAGCACCCTCCTATTGCAATTATGCTCAGGGTGGGGCTAATCACTCACTGACCTCACTGAAGAGAGCAGAGCTCTATGAGTGCAGAATTTGACCCAGTGTTATAGCAGATTCGTTTGTAATGTTGTCTTGGGGCAAAGGCACACAATCAACTTACCTTGCCCCTTTGTACCTTGTGATAGCCGATCAGTGTGCCTATGTCCTAAGCTTTTGGAGCCAAATGTCTTGCGTCCTACTTTGTAGGTCTGTGTTTCAGTATATAAGACTGGTGTCACCTCACACTGATTCACTGCGCTGCCATTAGGATTGAGGGGAAAAGAGGACATTGGTTTTTTAAAAATACAGAGACGACTGGAAGTGCAGTTTCATATTGAATGCAAACATGGTCCCAACAAACATCACTGTCAAATCTGAGATCATTGTTTCTTGGCGATTTCAGGATTAAAGGAGAAAAACTTTAATTTTCATGCCTATTTAGCCAGCAGTCAAATAGCAGGGACCTCAGCCCACACTGAACATGGACCCATAAAAAAGAATCTCTGTTCAGCCCGTCTTTATTAGAAGTCAGCATCTGCCATTCAGTACTATTAAGATAAATCTGTGTCCTTGGAGCTATGTAGATAAGGCGACTTGCCCCAGGAAGCAAATCACAATCACACACTGAAGTAGGAAATACTGTATTGGTTTCAAATGAGGTGTCTATTAGTCTGGCATATGGAAATTAGCTGTCAAAATTTGCACCCTGGCATATATAGGGATGGAAAGAGAGATTCTTGGCATCTGGAAACATTACAACATACCACAGGGAATAAAAAGGGACTGTCAAAGCCCTTAACAGTGGAGAGAGTTGTGAGTCCAGGTACCAGACTAGGAGCAAACCTACGGAGCTGACTCTCTAGGGGCTGTGGAGGGCCCCACTGAGCTTTCTGGCTCAGAGATGGCCTGGTTGAGGAGGAAACGGGAACAAAGGTAAACTTGGAGACTCCATGAGGGAAAGGCTTAGTAGGCCAGAAGGGCCACAAGAGCCTACATTTTGTAGAGACCTAAAAAATTGGAGTAGCTCAGAAGAAAAGGAATCCTATTTCCATTTCTTTGGCCTGGGAATACGTAGTTGGGATAACCAGAAAGGAGCTGAAAATGGACATCTCCCTTGTGTCACAAGGGCTGTGCTCCAGGATATCAGTCGGTCACCCCACCAGTTTGTAATAGGCCTTTCCTACCTCAAAGAACTCCCGGTCTTTCTGTGATGATGATGTTTTTCTCCTAAGGCAATGAATAAAAGCACAAAATTAGTAGTGAGAGTGGCATTTGCAATCTTATGAACAGCATATTGGGCGTAACACAGAGTAACAGATCAAGCTAGCATTTCATCAACACAGCAAGCCCAGTTTCTAGTAAATCTTCTTCATTAGTATGCACACACTCGCTTGCCCAAGAGAAAGGCAGACTTTTCAGCATTAATACAAAATGAGAATATGCAAACGATCCAGCTCAGCTAATTAAACCTGCCAGAGCCTGACACCGGGCCTAATGGCCAGAGGTGCTCCACCCCCATTTACTTTTCTGTTGTGCTCAGCCTGGCTCTAACTCTGCTCCTACTGAAGGCAATGGTAAATCTCTCCAGGAGATCTTGCAGGGAATAGTTAGCAAGGGAGCAAAGGTAGGCCGAAGATGAGAGACTGTACTGAATGCAGCAGATTGGTGGGTGGGGTTCAGAGAAGAAATGCAAACCAGGCTGAAAAATGGCAAAGCTTTAGGGAGAAAGAACTTTGTCAGAGCAGAGTGACTTGCCCAAGGGAAGAGTGGCTTTGGAAGTACAGTGACTCTGATATACACTCAAGACAAATCTTTGTCATGCTGAGCCAGAGTCCTGTGCCAAAGGCCTGCAGGAGGGAAGCTGAACCTCAAAAAAGCTACTCAGTCCTTCTGCAAAGGAGAAGAGCTTCCTCTCATGAAAGGCAAAGTAATTCGCCTCACATGCACACTCCTTACAGGCTCCTGCAAGATTTGGTAGATCCTACAGGCTACACAGGAAACTCCATGTCTCTGTGCCAGCACTCAGACCTACTGTGATTTTCTCTGGCTGCCTGACAACACTACATCAGCTGCTCCATATTGTGAGGACTTTCCAAGTGCCACAGCACGTGGGCATTTCAGCTCAGAGCAGCCCACAAATACGATATGCTCTCTGCTATCTTAATTATCTGCTGACTCTTTCACAAGCCCAGGCAGATGTTGCCCAACTCTCCCCATCTGACCCAAACCTTCATCTCCTTATCTGACCCTGCTATCTCCCCAGCTGCAGATCCCAAACTCCATGAGTTAGGCAAGGCAGGCAAGATGGCACCAAAGGCAGCTGACTCCCTCTTGCAGGGGAAGAGTTTAAGCAATACTGATTGACCGCTATAGCCGATCGTAACTGCAGAGATCCATAGTTTAGTGCCCTTTGTTACTTGTCCATATCTGCAAGGCACAGTAAGGCACAAACAGTTTGCCTTTGACATTTCCCACGGTATTAAGCTAAATGACCTCTTAAGGGTTGACTTGATCTTTTAGCCTTGACATAGCTTGTGTAGTGACCTCAAGGTTCCCTGCATTCTGGGAGAGCTGTGCAATGGAAACTGAAGACAAGTCAGTGAAAAAGGCCCTTCAGTTAGAGCCAAGCAGGGCCATGTGCCTCCATCTCCCTCCCCTCCACCGCTAACCTTCCCGGGAAAAGGAGAGAAGAGGAAGTTAAGTGCTCAAGGTTTATGATTAGGATAAGCCTGACAGCATTTCCTTGACGCAGGAAGCTCCTGTGTCTAAGGCACTCTTGCAGCTTAGCTAAAAAATGTAAATGGGGTTAGGAAAACAGTCTGTCTTCAAAGAGTTTGGGACAAAGCTCATAAGAAACACATGAAGGGATTGTAGAAAAGTGGGGCTGGAAGGGACCTCATGAAGTCATCTTGTCTAGCCCCCTGCTCAGCTTATCCCTGACTAAACCACCCCCGCCAAGTGTCTGTGTCACCTGCTCTTGAAAATGTCCGGGGATGGAGATGCCACAACTTCTCTCTAGGTAGCCTGCAATGAGTGAGCGGGGAGTAAACCAGGCACTAGTACGATGGAGTCTCTAGACCTGTCAGTGTGTCTAAGAACCTAACAAAGCCCAGGTACTGCATTAAAACACAGGCACAGCATCTGCAAACTTCAACGAAAGCCAGCATCCTGCATGCAGGCCCCACTAAAGGGAAGTGTTTCCTGTACCATATTACCAACTCTCTCCTGCCCTGCCAAGCATTTTATTGACTGGGGGCCAACCCAGGCCCCTCTGAAGACCATAAGAGTCCTCGATGAGGCCCAGCTTTGCCCATGTTCGTGCAAATAATGCATTTGCCTCTGAGAATACCATGCATTTTTCCCATTATGACAAAGCCCCTGAAGGAAATTGGCATCATTAAAAACATTGCACAATCCGTTCCACCCGTTTGAGAAGAGACCGCCAGCCGCACCTATTTCTTCCTCAGCCGCAGAGGCATAAAAGGACTAATGCTGATGCAAGTAAATAATAGGTCTGCTGGGGCTCCTTCAAACTCCAGTCTGACATAACATCAAACTGGGATTTTTAAGCTGCATTCTACAAACACCTCAGTTGTTAAGTCACATACGGATCCCATTTGAAACTCATACTCTTCTTCCTCATAAAATCATGGAAAAGTTGGGCTGGAAGGGACCTGGTGGTCACATCTAGTCCAACCCACTGCCAAAGGGAGGGTTATCCCTATCCAAACCATCCCATACAAATCCTTGTCTAATCTACTAGTTAAACTACACAACGCTGTCGCACAACCACAAGGTATAACACCCTAACCTGCCACAAGTAAAGCAGGAAGACCATGGTAGTCAGTGTCCTACTGCTACAAGGATTATTAAAATACTGTCAAGAGAGCAAAGAAAGAGCCAAAATAAGCTCCTTGCTTAATTTCTAGAGAAAACTCCTGACCAATCAATTATTTGCTGCCTGCATATGGAAAATTAGTAGACCTGGGCTGGATACAGATTTCCCAACCATGGGAAATTTTCAAATTGTCAAAAAAAAATTCCCATCCTGAATCAAGGTAGAAAGTCAAAATCTTGAAAATACTTTGAACCGTCAACATGAAAACACTTTGCTGGGCAGAAGAATAATTTCATTTTAATACCTTCACCATGCATGTTGATCTTATCGATTGTTTAGCTATAATTAATGTGGATTTCCAAACACGAAGTTATTTCACAATCAAAAACAGATTGTTTCTAAAGTGTCCAAGTGGGACATTTCAATAATTTTTCCACCGTTTTATCTAAAAGATGTTCCAACTAATTTGTTTACCAAAAGGGACCCTTTTCCCATGTTTTGCATTTTGAGAAATTGGTATTTTCCAACAAAAAGCATCTTACTGAAATTTCCCACCCACCTCACCCAAATAGCCAATGCATGTTGATTAGAGTTGCATAATACCTTTTATTCTAGAAGGCTTAGGGAGTTACCAGGGAGGATGCAGCCAACACTCAAAGAGTGAGTCAGTTTTGGAAGGACTGTATTTATCTATTCACATATTTGCAAATTGTATGCGTGTGATCTATCATGGAGGGACCCACCACTGAGGGACAGGTGTGGATATGGCACTATTTTCAAAAGCACTTAGCATTGGCTACACTGTGCACCCACTAACAATGGTAACAATTCCCCCATAACGAATACTGGAAATGGATATTTCTTCTTATCCCTCCTATGGAGCTTCATAATGAGGTCCCCATTCTCCTCAGGGCACCATTTAAAATAAATATTAGTATCTCATTTTGATCCCTTATTACCTATTGTATAACCCTCTCTTTTTATAGCAACAACCCTGCACCTTGTCTTCTATCAGGCAAAAGAAGTGAGGGACTTGCTCCTCTGATTTGTTGTGAAGGAAACGGTGTCCTAGTGATGACAGTGGGGGTATTAGTTCTTCAATATAAGCAGCTCTAGCTGACAGGCAGGAAGGCCCACAGGCCATGTTTTGCACCTGCAGCATTGGGAGCTGTACCCTTTGCCTGCTCCAACAGGAAGGAGGAACGGCCAGTGCAGCACTCCCCAATCAGCAAGACACTTAAAATAATCCCCACATCACTCAGCGCAGTCAGTCCAGAAACGCAAGTGCAGTACACACAATGTTGGCATGCTCCTTCAGTCCCAGAGGATGAGGTGACCCTATCCAGGAGGCCTGCAGTGGGCTCTTTCCTTTCCTCTTCATCACCAAGAAAGCCCCTTCCCTGCTCCCCACCCATGAGGAGGAAACCCCCTCCCTGCCCTCTAAGTACATGGAAGCCACCCTGAGGCAGACGGGTAGGAGAGTCAGAGAGTGAACTGGGAGTTGGCAGCAGAGGAGCTCAGCAAATGACTGCAGAAAGCCGCAGGTTTGCCTGGGGCAGTTCCCACACCCTGGATTTTGATGCTGAATTGTCTCCTGTCAGCTTCCAGGGGAAACTCATCATGTCCTGGTGAGCTGTGCAGCGGTGCTCTGCCACTCCCATCCCAGGGAAGTGTGCTTCTTGATGTATTACACAGATGCAGCCTCTTACCTTTCTTCTCCTAAAATGTACTGACCTTCACACCTTCTAGCAACCACTGCCCCAACCATCTGCCCTAAGGACGCAGAGGTGGCAAATCATGTCTAGTCAATTGTGCTGGGCTCCATCAGGACTTTACGGTTCCTCGAGCCAGCGAGGCTTCCACAAACCAGGCACAAAGCCCCGAGGGAGGGATCCAAAGCCCTGCTGCAGTGTGTTGAAACCACACCACTTTATTGAAAACTGAAGTCACGCACATTTAGAGGTGAAAAGATACCAGGCAGATGCCAGGCCCCAGACACTCGCCAAATCCTGCCTTGTGTTCCTTTGGCCCTGTCCAGTACTTTCACTCCTGCAACAGTTATATACAGATGCTCACTTGAATTGGGTTATTGTGGGCATCTGTCTGTCACAATATGTGGGCCCAGGCACAATGGCTCCTGACAGTGGTGGATGTTACCACAGGGGAAAGGTTTCTGTGGCCATCCCAGGCATTTCCTTACTTGCCGCAAGCCATGTGATGCTGATCAGCCATTCCCAGTCCAAGAATGAGGATGCAGTATATCTTGGCAAGCTGTGTCTTGGCTATGGAGAGCTTAACTAGTGCCTCCTCCATGTCCTTTCTTTCTAGCAAGTTCAGAGTCCTGTTAAAATTATATAAATAAAAATAGCCTTTAGGAAGGGTGTACTATTTAGAAGAAATCCTTCAAAGTGTGGCAGTTGTTTCAGAAAAAAAACATGTTTGTTCCTCTGAGCAAACCCTCATGAGGCACAAAACCAGCTCTGGAGAGCCCATTTGTTACAGGAATGATTTCAATGGCTTTCTAGGCAGCTTTGTAATGCTGGTGGGGCAACATAATATTTCTGGGTGTAAGTCTCTCTGGGCATTTATAGACATACATTTTTCTATGTTTAATCCAGACTACAGCCATCACAATATGCATGTGGACATCTGTAGTCTGAATTGAAATTGCCAAAATCAGGCCCCACACTGTATCCGCCAAGCTCCATGCTGCCTTACTCATCCTTGCACTTCTGGATTGCACTGCTTCTGCAGGCCTTGCACGCCCTGATCAGTACAGTACCACCCTGCCCAGCGTGTCATGATCAGACTGCACCATCTTCACCCAACCTAGCACACCAGGACTGGGCAACACTACCTTCACCTGGCCCAAAGCATCAGGATTGGGCCCTCCACTGCCACCACCAGGCCCTGTGCATGCAGTATAGTGCACAGGGCCATGTTATCCAATCTGCAGGGCTCCCCACAGGTCTGGAAATTTGGCAGCAGGGGAGAAGCAATTTTTGGACCCAGGAGGAGACTCCCAGGCTGGGTAACATGGGGCTGGAGGTTCAGCACCCCTGATCTAGCATATGATTGTCACAATGCAACTTGTTTATAATACTTAATCATCAGGTATACATGCATTTTAAACCATCTGGACATGGCAATTTAAAATAAAAGTGACCCAAAATAAAGTGACCCCAAATACAAGAACATTTTTTAGGCAGGAGACAACACATAAGAAACCTCATGCATAATCTATTAGTTTTAAGCATGCTAAAGTCCAGCATATAATGGAAAGCTACTCTCATCTCTGGAATTTCTATTGTAGCTCCATAACATATGGGTCATTAACTTGCCTGGTCACTGGGAAATACCAGCCTTCTGCTGGTTAACAGAGTTGTGGCAAAACCCTGCTGCAAGACAGGGAACAGTTCATACTTTGCAAGCTGCCAATGCGTTAACCTCTTACAGAAGGTTGCTTGCTTAGAACAGCCCTTGCAAGGTGACACTGGTGAAATCATTTGATTACTTGAGGCCACATCCAACAAATACACATAGCTGGGTGCACTGCTAACTTCTACGACTAATTCCAGGGTACAACATGCTACACATCAACTCTGATGTAATTGTCCTTTACACTGAAATAAATGTGGCGTGAACACATAACAGACAGCCCAATGCCAGCATGAATCACTCCCCTGGGGTAAAACTAGACCTCAGAAAGTCAGAAATAACCACACATTGATGTAAGTTACACTGGTATCTGCAGCCGTAGTCGATATCATTCAAAATAGCCCTTTGCTCCATGCAAAAAACGTGTTACTGGGTCATGCCACCTAGTGGCAAGATATTGTAATCGCAACAAATGGAACCAGTTGCTTCACTCCAGACCCTGATGGAACTCATTCTGATGTACAAATGATGTAAACTACATCGGTGTAAATGTACCATGTCTTTGCACTCTCACTAAAGTCAAAGGGCATAACATTGTTCCAAGTGAGATGGTGCATTAAGCACAGTACTTATACCAAGTAAGAGCCAGTCTGTGCCTTGAAGTCTGAATAGACAAGGCAGACAAGAGGCAGGGAGAAGCACCAGGCTCGGAGGTGAGATGAGTGTTTTTGGTACCTGCGCCTACAGGAGCAGATCCTCAGTCTTTAACTCTATTAACTGTGTCAATATATGCCAGGATTGCTAAGGAGCCCTGCAGAGCCTTCCTTGTGGACAGCAGATCAATGCCTCCAAACAGAACCAGAAGTGGGAAATATATCCTGTGTATCTCAGGAGCCTGATCCTTCAGCCTTTGCACGTGGGTAATCCCTGCTCAAATGTGCATCCTACTGGAGCCATAGGACTCTCCCTGGAGGAAGAATTTCCTGTATGAGCAAGGGCTTGCAGGATCTGCCTGTGCATCCTTACCTTCATAGAGTCTCTACTTACCCCATTAAAGATTTGGGTTTCTTTTCCAGTGTGATTTTCTCCAGAAAATAAGACAAGTAGTAAAGCAGAGCCATGAGGAATTCATCAAGCTGTCTACTCCTAAACAAAAGTTAAGAAGATCATTGTGACACCTGACATAAGGGTTAAGGGTCCTTGCCCCTAACCACCTACAGGCTGCTAACACACCCTCAGACTTCTTATCCTGAGCAGTCTTATTTGTAGCAAGCACTAGACTCAATAAAAAAGGTTTGTGGGTCCTTATGGAAATACTCACTGTCCAAGAAGCCTATGTTCAAGAATGTATTACAGGACACAGACCTCCAGAAATAGATTGGTTATAAAACACATAACTTCTGTATCTGAAATCCTCTTGCTCCGGGCAGTAGGGCTATGCAAAATATTGCTGGCTGTTTTGTTTCAACACTGTTTCAACTCATTTTGAGGTCGAAACAGCAAAATCAAAATGAAACAAAGGGCTTAGAAACAGCCACAAAACAAAACAAGGCTAGTCGAAACGTTTCAAAAGTCAAAACGTTTCGACCATAGTGCTAGGGATGGGAAGTCAGTCCAGCTGGGCTGACTTCCCATCCCCAGCCCTATCGTAGTGCAAGGGCGTAGTGGGCATCCCTGGCTAGCCTCAGGGCTAGTTTCCCACCTGCCTCTGGGCATGCCGCCCACCTGTCAACCCACCATGCCTTGTTGTTAATTAATAATGTTGTTAGTTAAAGCGGGAGGCTGCCCATTCTTACACCCTAATATTGGTGGGGGCTATCCACGGCTCTGTTCCATCCCTACACCGCAGCCCAAGCCTCGCAGATGGCATCTCAGGCAGTTAGCTCAGCCTTCGCCCATTATCTGTGGCCCCCAACCCTGGGGACCTTCAGCTTCCATAAGCCCTGGCCCCGTCTCAGGCCCAGTCGGGACCCCGAGCTTCTTAGCTCTTCGTGGGCGTCCCTCACGGTGAGCCCCTGGCCCTTTTGACCCTTTGGTCCTGGCCCCAGCATTGACCAGTTGAGTATCTCAGTGGGGTTTTTGCCTCCTGCCTGCACTTAGGAATTGGGGTTCCCCCATTCATGGCTCAGGTGCTCCTGGAAGCGTGCCTGGCCCTGCGTGGTCACTCCCCCAGCAGGCTCAGGCACCTCCAGAAGCTTACCTGGCCTATCTTGCTCTGATGTAATATGACCCACCCGAAGGTGAGGGCTGGGGTTAAGGTGCCCCTACTCGCCTTTCACCGCGGTAGTAACTGGTCTGGCATTTCCTGGGGGCTCCCGCACCACTGAGAGCCCCACCAGGCCACCCACTCCCAGCAGGGTACAGTTTTAGGTCAGGACCAGGAGCCTCCAAACCATCCCCTACAGTTCCTGCCCTGACCTCCAAGATGCTCCAAGCAGCCTCGCACCCAGGCGATGTTGCTGCCTGCCCTGCCAGCAGCAAACTGCCCCATTTATGTAGGCAGCCATGGATCAAAACTGGTTGCTGCAATTAAGCACCTGTTGGCCACTTGCCTGGGCCCTTAAAGTGGCAGGCACGCACAATGCCCTGCCACAGATGGGAACTCAGCCCAGCTGGATTGACTTCCCATCCCCAGTGCTATGGTCGAAACGTTTCGACTTTTGAAACATTTCAACTAGCCTCCTTTTGTTTTGAGGCTGCTCCGAAGCCCTTTGTTTCATTTCAATTTGTTTCATTTCAAGCACCTACTTTGAATGCCTTCAAGAGACATTTGGATGTTTATCTTGCTGGGATCCTATGATCCCTGCTGACTTCCTGCCCATGGGGCAGGGGCCTGGACTCGATGATCTTCCGAGGTCCCTTCCAGCCCTAATGTCTATGAAATCTATGATTTTGCTGTTTGGACCTCGAAATGAGTCGAAACAGTGTTGAAATGAAACAGCCGGTGAAATTTTGCACAGCCTTAGAAGTCAGCCCAGTTGGGCTGACTTCCCATCCCTGGCCAATCTAGCAAAACGTTGAAGTAGAGTCAAAACAGCCTCACTGTTTCGATGAAGCAAAACAGAATAGCTGTTTCGAATCAAAATGAAATTCGATACGAAACACTGTTCCATAGAAACCTCGAAACAAAGGCGAAATGGAACGATGCTGTTTTGCACGGCCCTACTGGGCAGCATGGAAATAATTTACTGCTGACCATACAGAAGCAAACTATGGTACCAATTGCTCATATTCAGCCATGCTAGCCAGAGTGCCCGCAACACAGACCCCAAGGCCCAAATTTTTAAAAAGCAGTTCAGTGGGAATTACACATCTAAATACTCTAAAATCTGAGCCCATTTTACAATCTAGGCCTTAACCATTAAACATCATAAAAAGCCTTTCACAAGGATAAGATAATGAATTCTCTGTCCATTTCAGGGCAAAAATGTATTTGGTAGCATCTTCCACCAAACTCTACCATTGGTAGAGAAGGGATTTTAAACCTCTAGTATTTTGCTCTCCACACTTTACAAGCTCTAACAAGCTCTAAATCCAATGCCAGTAAAATGCAAACACAAAAATACTTCAAATTCCAAGCTGCCTACCTCATAATGGTTGTAAAAGAGGATATATGATACGATTCATTTTCTTGTACTAAAAACAGAGCAGCATCTGAAAATACACAAAGGAAAAAATGTATGTTAAAAATAAGTCCAGTAAAAATCAACCCTTCCAAGAAATGTTAAAGAATTGTTTTGCAAAAATCTTGTTGATTTAATAAAAGATATTATCTCTACTATGAGCCCTAACCTTTTCAAGAAATACTTTTCCAAACTGTAAGAGTAATAGGGTACTAACATAAAATTATGGAAATTGCTCACATTTAACATCATCCAGAGTCACATACTCTTTTTGTCCATGTTTTGAGAGCCTGGGCGATATCTCTTCTACCGACTTTAATCTTTTCTCAGGGAATTTTGCACCGAACAATTCTTGAAACATACTGGGAGTTGACCTGCAAACACCATTTAAAATGCACTGCTCATTCCCCCCGTGTTATACATACTTGTTGTTAACACGTGGAAGGTTCTCTCTTTAGTTGATTTAATTCCAAGATGTAAACTGGCAGTTAAAAAACCCTTAATAAATACCCTTCACTTTCTGTTTCTTTCATTAATCTGTTAACGTCCCTAAACATGCTTTTCCAGGTTGGCCGTGTTCAGTGAACCAGGATTCTTCAGCTCCTAAGATCATTTCTGATTGTGGCTCTTTCATTTGGGAGCACAACAACATTGTGATGATACTGTATAGGTTTTAAAATGGTTTAAGTTAAGAACAGTTAAGATGACAGTGACTTTTGCCACTTTGTACATTTGAAAAATAAATCATAAGTCATAACAACAGTAATAATAATACACTTTGGAAGCACTTTACAAAGATGAATTAATTAATCCATCCTCACAATAGTCCTCTCTGCAGACTAGTATTCTTTTTTGATCCTAAGAGATCTGGAAACAGAGGCAGAAATGTTAAGTGATTTGCCCAAGGTCATGCCAAATCAGTGTCAGAGCTCAATTAGCCATCATGTATCTCTGACTACTAACACTCATCCCATTCTACCCTCAACCCCTCACCCTGAATAAACTACTGAAATGGCCAATTTTTTTTCTGTCCAACCTACTTTGTTAGAACAAGGCAAAATATATAGTCCTTATGACTCCCACCCTAATAATGCTGTCTCAGTTTTAACTAAGTGAGGGTAAGCTGGAATACCTGTCTGCTGTTTTAGTACTCATTTCCTGAAAATGGATTGCTTTGCCCTTCTTGAGTTTCTCTTTAGCATCGAGTGCTGGGGCAAAGCTGTAACACATAAAAATATGGATGTTTAGGAACAGAAACAGCAATTGTTAATGAGACAGTTCAAAGAGTTCAGCGTTCTGGAATATAATGCCCATGAGTTTGGGCCACCATATGACAATGAGACAAACTTCTGGACTGAGACAGAGGAAGGATATCGGAGACGGCTTTTAAGTACGTTGAAAGATAGGACTAGAAGAGTCACTGATGCCAGGCCCTTGCTATCAGAGACCAGATCATAAATCCCTTCCATGAACTAAGAAAACCCTCTAAAAAGCAGGTAGGGTTTTGCTCCCACCCCCTCCTCTTGGGAGGCTATTCTCACTTCTCAGAGTGAAGCTGCAAACCTTCTCTTAATTCCCAGGCTAATTTATTCATGGACAGTTTATACATGTTTGCTCTTGTACTAATGCTGTTTATACATGTTTATACATGTTTGTTCTTGTGCTAATGCTTTGGTTCAAATTGCTCCTTTCCCTCCCTGGGGTTTACTGTTCAATATATTTATAGACAGAAGTCACAACCACACGCAGCCAGAACTAAACAAGCCACGCTTTTTTAGTTTCCTTTTGTTTGAAAAGTTCTCCATTCCCTTAACCATCGTTGTGGCCTTTCTCTGTCTGAATTCCAGTTTTGAATTCATCTTTCTTAAACAAAAAGATAGAGATGATATCCCAGATGAGGTCTCATCAGTGCCTTGTACAATAGCAGAGCTATTTCCCTGTCTCCACAGGAAATGTCTTCCCTGATACATCTGCTTTGTTCCTGGCTGCATCACCTGGGTGGCTCATAGTCAAGTTGTGATCCACTAGAGCATGTAAGCCCTTCTCTTCCTCGGTTGTTTCTATCTGGGAAGCTGACAACTTTTGCTCCCCAAAGAGAAAGTCATAGAAGGAGAAACCATTTGGTGGTTTCCATTATGCCACTATTTTACCTGCCCCAAAGAGCCCTGAAAGGAGAAAGAGCTGGCAGGGGGGGGACCTACCCCGTGTCCCCCAGGCTCTCAGGAAGGTAGCAAATCCTGTCCACATACACCAAAAGTGGGAATGTGGCAGTGATCTGAAGGCACCCCCAGCAGCCACTCTCAAGACCCTGTCTCAAGTGTTCTTGAAAGCAGAGACGGAGGACACCCTGGAGAAGTTTCTCCACATTTCTAGGTTGAATACATATGAACAGGGGCAATGTAACCATCCCTGTGATACAAAAGTTACTTCCTAAATTCAAGCCCACTCCATGAAATCAAGAATAGAACAGAGCTTCTTGAAATCAAGAATAGGGCAGGGAGGAGATGGCTCTATGCAGGAAAGGCCTGACCCCTAAGGAAGACTGGAAATATGCAAAGGAGGCAGAGAGGCAGCCAGAAATCACGTGCCTGACTCCTAATAATTATCTGCTCTACATGGCCCACACACTGTTAGCTGCTCAAAGAAGGAACAGCCGACTTATATTGTTTTTCTGCTGACCCAAATTTGTTTTCCTGTCGGCCCAGTACAGTCTTAATCCAAAATTGCCATGCAGATGTAAAAAGCAATTATACATCAAAGCAACCTTCCCATATACGAAGTAGGTGGTTGTATTTAACTATATTTCTTAGATGCTTTGGGAGTACTGGGCAGACCTACACATGCATATAAATGTGAAGCAATAAACTCCGGCACACATCACACCAGAGTTTATTGCTCCCTTGGTGCTGTGTTTACACGCATGTCTGGGACCGCAACACATCGTGCCGGATTGGAGCACCCCCAGCTGGCAAAGTCTGGGGGGTCAGCCTGCCAGTCCAAGGCTGCTCCAACTTGGCTTAACGTGCTGCAAAGAGGCTGGCTGGGGCACAAGGGTGCTTCAGTACAAGGTTAGTCGGCAAGCAACCCCTGCACTGAAGCACCCTCATGCCCCAGCCAGCCCCATCAGCGTCTACACATGTTGCTGTGGAATAAAAAACTCAGCTACACGATAGTACTTGTATTTACAAGTACTAACCTACAGCAAGGTTCATTGTTTCCTGCGGTCTAATAGCACTGCACGTGTAGATGCTGAGATGTTTGCTGTGGAGTTAATCAGGCAACCCCACAGTAACCGTCTCATATAGATGCGCCCACTCAGGATTACACATATCATCGGCATCAGTGGGCACAGCTCCACTGGCTTCAACGAACTGCACTTGCACACACTGGGTTTGAATTTGGCTCTCAACTTTCAGCTGTGTCTCCCAGTCACACGGGCATCTGACTAATGTGCCTTGTTGAGCATTCATAATGAGCCAGTGTTGTGCATTCTGCTGGAGAACAATATTGATAAATACCACTAACGTATTCATCTCCATGTCACTTTTCCCTTTCCATGAACCTGCTGGGATGAATGATACAGAGGAGAGGTGCAGAAACTATTCTTTCAACAGGAGAAGCACGTGTGTAGCGGCTGGTTCTGAAGATCACATTTAGGCAAAGCTCCTGTGGGATCCAATTTTACCTGAGTAAGGAGTGTGTGGGATCAGGACCTAAGCATCTACATCTTTAAATCATAACTTTAAATGCTTACCTTGCAAATTCAAGTGTGTTGGTGTCATCTTTCCAGAACCACACCCCTGAGGTGACTTTCATCATCTACACAAATTAAAATAGAATATCATATGTAATGAAATACAATTCAGGCATATCCTCATCCCAGTTCAACAAAGTATTTAAGACACAACCCCTGTGTATTTGGGCCACTGGTTTTTCTCTCTTGACATTTCTTTTCACTCACATGTTGCCAGGCAAGTTTCTGAGGAGCAGTCCCTGAGCCAGGCAAATAGAGAAACAGTTCTAGTGCAAAAAGAGAGCCCACAGATAGCAGATTAATAGTATTAAAAGAACTAAAAGTGTTGGTGGAATCTGCCATTCTTTGATGTCTAAAGAAACTATGAAAATGGAGCTACAAACTGGAGAAGGAGTTTGAAGTCAGACTCTTTAAAAATACAGTTTTGGTTTGGATTTGGTAATATCTATTGCACATAAATGACTAAGACTCAGGGGAGGAAAAAAACCTGTTGTTAACATTTCAGCAGAGCCCATGCCCATTTAAATGAAGACTAAGAATTAACAATAAATATGATTTAGACCCCCAGGAATCCAAAAAAGCTATAAGAGACAACATTTTACATGCTTTTTATTTCCAATGTGAAAAACAAGTGGGGGGCGGCAGGGAAAGCTCTGGAAGAAAACAAAAGAAAACTTTTCTGTCTTTCTTATAAATCACTTTGTAGCCAAATTTAAGATAAAATGCATCTTTTTCCCAGAGCCCTTTTTCTGCGGCTGGGGAAAATGAGTTTAAAGCAGACTTAGAATTAAGGCTTTCTATAGCTTTTTGCCAGCTAGCTAACCGGTCCTACAGAAGCAAATCCCTATATAATAGCGTCTCACACACCCATCTCTAATATCTCGGCTACGTGATGAATATGAAACATGACAATAATTTAGCGTTGACAAAAGCCCTGTTATAAACACAGAACTGGGACTCATCCGTTCTCTGACTCTGAGCTGGGGTCTGATCTTAGCTTCTCTGGGTTTCAATTTCCCCTTTGGTTTAATGAGACAATACCCAGCTCTTCGTAACACTTTGCAATCCTGTGATGAAAGGACAAAAGCAGTGTCTTTGCATATAAGCGCAATTCCCTTATATTGCGCTTATATGGGGTTATAAACCAAATCCGAGACCGAGCAGAAGCAGCAGTGATGCAAGAGGTGGAAATGTCGGATTCGAGGACAGGAAACAAGAGCCCAGGGAATATCTGCGGGTACGGTGCCTCCAGATCACACCAGGACCGAAGCTCCCGGCTGCTCGCGGGGACGTGCGGTCTGCTCTGCCTGCCCGAGGGTCTCGCCTCTATGAGGTAAATACCGTTCACCCCCATTTAAACATGCAGAAGCCCGGGTTGAGTTACTCGCCAAAAGCTTCGGTACCACAAAAGGGTATCGCAACATTGTCCCGTCCCTGCCGCTTTTTAGTTACCAAAGTACGCGTTCCTCAGCGCTCAGCCGAGTTCTCGGTTATCGCCTTCGAGAAAGCGAAGGCAATACAGTCTCCGTCACCTTGCAGCCTTCCAGGAGCAGGTTTCGTCTCGGGCAGCCGGGTCGGGGCTCCCAGGCCACGTCCGTGCCTCGAGTCCCTGCTGGCCTTTCTGCGCTCAGGCTACTTGGAGGCTCCATTAGGCCTGTGGGAGAGACACAAGGAGAGGACATAACTCGGATCTGACATGAGCCTCCTTTTCTCTTCGCCCCGTCCACCAAACTCCCACCCCCACGCTGCTCCTTCCCACCGGGGCAGCAGGACGGTGGCCGCGCCTGGGAGACTCACGGGGGCATGGCGGTCCCCGGGAGCCCGGCTGGGGCTGAGAACAAGGGACTGGGAGAGATTGTTTACTGCGGTATCCTGGTAACCGCCTCCATTGTCCCCCGAGAAACTACAAGTCCCAGCCTGCCGCGTCTCACTGTCCCACAGTGCTGCAGTGTATACCGGGGCTTGTAGTCTCGTGGCTCTTCATCGTGGATGTGCCTGGCAGCTCTCCTGGGGCCACCCTCTCACCAGGGCCGGGGAACATTGCATTATGGAGGCAATAACCTCCTACAGCCAGTCAGCAGTGTCTGCTATGTTGTTATTTGGAGGAGAGTTTGGCAAATGCGTGATTGCCATGGTTCTTCCCATCGCTGGCATGATGCTTGCATGGGGCCCGATGTAAAGGTAGCTCAATGATGGCACAGTTCGCACAGTGCTTTGAATGCTAATTTTATTCTGGCTTGGCCTTGGCAGGGTGTGAATCTGTGTCCACCAAAACAACAGGACAAAGTGCTTGTTTGCTGAGTGTTGAAGTGTCCGTTCACGACTGCCCTCTCAAAACACGTGCAGGATGCGAACTTTGGCTGGCAGAACAGGATTTTGGGAGGGTGTGACTCTTTCTGCAGCATTGTTATGCCAGCAAAGGCCTGGTGCAGATGAGGTTATACCAGATAGTGGAGATCCTCACATAGAAACACATCAACCATTATGGCTCACTTTGATTAGGGAACTGTTATTAACTATGGTGGCAAAAGCACTTTGCCAGTCTAAGCAGATGAGTGTCAGCACCAGAAGGGTTTTGCCAGCATTGACAATACCACAAAAGTTTTTAAGTACAGAGTAGGCTCCAAGTGCTGATTGATGCAATGAAAGAAAGCATCCAGGGGTAGTGCCAGCCACTTCCCGGGGAAGTGGCTAGACAGAAAATTGGGGGTGCTGCGCTCTCTCTCTTCTGGCCAAACATACTTATTCATTCTTTTAACAATACCCACTTAAACATGTGTTTTAGCTATGTTATCTGCAGGAGATAACAGGGGAATAAAAATATATACTGCATGCAAACAGATCAGTCCAGGCTGGGCCCGGAGCGCCACACCTCTGTGGGCAGGAAAGGGCAGGTGGCAGTGGCCAAGGGGGAGGCGGGGGGCTTGGACAGGGGCATTCGGCAGGATGGCTACAGGAAGGCTATAGCCGCCCCCGCCTTCCCCCTAGCACCGCCCCTGAAAGTGTCGGAGCTCAGATTTATGGACAGCTCAGCTGGATCATTGCGTACACAGTCAGTGCAGCCCATTCACTACCGCAGTCAAGCTTTTAACTGCAGAGAGGGCTCTTGACAGAATCATTGAGACATTCATGACTTATGTGCAAGGCAATAAAAAATGCCAGAAAGCTTTCCTGCCAAGCACTGAAGTGTCAGCCCTGTGGACAAAAGCTAGCATGAAACAAGCTGCTTCCTTTCACTAACTCGCCCCCTCTGCCCTTGGAAAGACTGCACCAGTTCAAGGGCAACTACAAGTCTTGCATGATCTTTAACGTTCCTCTAGCCAGCCATGCGCGTCCCATGCCTGACTCACAGAAAGCCCTGAACCGTCCCGAAAATTCAGTCCTGCCTCAGCTCTCTGCAGTGACCTTTTTTGACAATTGTATTGTGTTTGTTGTTTTCAGTTGCTATCGCAGGCTGCCAAGGATATTTTGGTGGCTTGGCAGCAGCGCCACATATTTTATCAGGATGAGAGAGGCAGGTTCGGGAACAACCTCAGATCTCTCCCATCAGAGGAAAGCAGAACTCGGGGCTTGTAGAGATAGGAGGCCAAACAGGGGAGAACTGGAGATTTGGAAACAATGGCTCTGCTAGATGATATTAATGCAGCCATGTCATCAGCTTTCAGTCCTTTGAGCTAAAGTAAAAGCCACATCAAAAGAACTGACCAAATTAAGGGCAGAACTACAGAAGGAGAGGGAGGGAATGTGCTGTTGCAAGACTGGAGAGAGGCATTGCAAAAAGAGAGCCCACAGATAGCAGATTAATAGCATCATCATTCCAGCACGAAACCAGCAATCTAACCTAAGTAGAGCGACTCCTTTAGCTTTACAAAGTCCTTCTAAGCCAAAAACACATACTGCTTTAGAAATAACAATGGACGTAAGACTCCCAACACCTCTGAAATATTAGCACTGCCAGTTTGCAAATGGAAACACTGAATACCAGAGAGCAAAACGGCCATGCAGAACCTCTGTTGCAAAGCTGGAGGTGTAGGCCGTATCCTCTTCACTAAGCTTTTGCCCAACAATCCTCCCTTTAAAGCTTTAAGATATTTCCCAGCATCTTTTTTCCCCCAGATATTCTTCATTAGTAATTTAAGTTTCACATCAAAAAACAGCAGGGAAGTAACACTGGCAACTAGCCTCCCTTTAAAAAATGCTACAGAATTCTGGATTTGGCTGCATTGCAATCAACATCAAATAAATTACTGGATTGATAGATACATTAATCAATGGTATAGTATGTTTTAGATTGTTTCTTTTCTACAAGCTTATGTTTTTGCTTTGTCAGGGCTGCAACAGACTGCACATAAGGCACCAGGCCAAAAGTGCTACGGAGCCAAACCCTTAAAGGAAATTTTTAGTGACCAACTCTCCATGCTACTTGCATCAGCCCATCGGCAGAAATTTTCAAAGAAGCACAGCAGGTTAAGAGAATTAATTAAAGACAATGATGAGCTCAGGAAAAGCCTTGACATTCCTTCAGAGCTTTCTGCTGTGTAAGCAAATCGTGGCTTCGGTCAAATCCCAGCTAGGGACAGATCCCACCTGGCTGACAGCTCTTCAGTGACTCTCTTGCGAGGGGGCCCTTAGGATACCTCTCTTCTTACAGGAGGGATTCCCCATCTAGCACAGCTCCCACAGAACTGCCCCTATCCTCTCTTTCTCTCCCCAAATACAAGGTGCACAGAAGAATGGGGACAAGGCTGAAACCTCAGTTATCTGTGACTTTGCTGCATGGATACTGGTGCCTTTATCCATTTCCCCACTGAAGATCCTGGTGGGTCTAGCACCGACACCCTAGGATGGAGGCGTCCAAGATGTAGCCCAGGGAGCTGGCTCACCCAACCTGCAAGGATCCTAGAGAGGGCAAAGGTTTGGGGGAAGGGCCTACTGCTAAATTCTCAGCAAGGGAGGACTGGAGCTACAGGGGGTGGGGGCAAGTGACAGCTGCATTAAACCCTGTGCCACCACTGCCAGATCCAGCCCACGAGGCTCCTCATGGTCCTGGTTTGACCTGTAAGGAGCCTAGGATCTGGACCCGGCTTGGGGCCCAGATGAGTTTGACATCCCTGACCTAGACTGTAGATGCCCAAGATGGGGGGAGAAAATACCATTGTCAGTGGGTCTGCTGTTACAGCCTGTTTTCACCAAGGATCATTTTGCCAAACTTCAATCTTTCAGGCTGAAATTTTGCAGGTCAGGTTGAAAATTGTTGGAAACTATCAGCCCAAATGGTTCAGGTGTTGGGAAAAAAATACGTTGTGCTGCTCAAGGTTAAAAAAAATAAATAATCCAGCAGCCTCTTCTTCAAACAGGCCTCAAATCCGCATGTTCTTGGTAAGTGATTTTAAATTAGGGAGAACACCCTGGTATTAGGCATGCCTTTTGCTCTTCTCCTTAAAATCTGCCCATATTTGAACAAATTTCATCCTTTTGGAAAACAGCAGTTTAAACGTGCTCAGTGGAGCTTCGCTAGAGCTTTGCATCTTAAATTCCTGGGAGATTCCCATCTGTTCTCTCTGCTATTTTCACTGAGTCCAGGGAACTTGGAAGAAACGGGTGATTCAAATGCAGAAGAAACAACCTACATCCTGTAGAGAATTCATTTGGGAAGAGAAGTTTAAAAGAGATATGACGAGAGACTGATGGGCAAAGGAACTGTCATGAGAAGCTGGGACTGAAAGAAAGCTGTGTTTGGCTGAAGAGCTAGGAAAGGAACCTAGGTTGGTATCCGGGAATCACTCGAAAATATGATATTTGACACAGTTCTGTTCCGTTTAGGTCTCCGTTCCTGCGAATGCCTCTGAGTTCACATAACATGAACTTCTTAAAAATATCAGTTCACAAACCTGAGGCTGGGAGCCAGGGGAAAATGGGTAACAGCAGCAAAAGTAAGTGAATAGAGATGAGGGGCAGGGAGAGATAAGAATTAGACATGGAGCCCCAGGAGTTTGAGACTAGGATTGTCTGTGTAAAGAGCCTGGGACCGAGAGGAAGAGGAGGGCTGGCAAAGAGACTGAGAAAAGGATTGAGGGCTAAGGAGATGGGATGGGGACAGCAAGTTGAAAGGAACAGGACAGGAGTCAAGCTTAGGGGAGACAGGCAAGAGCGTGTGCCCAGAGGAGCACACTCCTGATCACAATCCTGCTTCACACCACTCCTCTGCTGTCAGCAGGTATCTGAGAACGACGGGCACAATGTCCTGTTCCCCCCTAGTGCGGTTCCTTCGAGAGCAGCAATTCTCAGCCGGGGTCCCATGGCATGCCAGGCTGCCATGACACCTCCTGAAACGCGCAGCGGGGAGAGAGGAGAAAGTGAGAAGCTTGAGGAGATAAAGTGTAGGGTCTTCCCTTCCAGCTTCTCCTTCTCCCCCTCCCTCTGCAAATACGTAAGCACTATAATACGTTAGTTTTTTAAATGGGGTGCTGCTCAATTCACAAGTTTACAATTCACATGGGTGCTGCAAATGTAAAAAGATTAAAACCCACCGACCTACAGATGACAACCTATGGCTATTGGTCACTGCCTGAGCCAAGTGGCAGAGGTCCTTGCCAAAGGTCTGAACCCTGCGGAGTCCCACACGAGTGCCAATATGATGCCTTAGGATCGCATTTCTGTGCCCCCCCCCCATTTGCTTTTTCAGAAGCCCTGGACTGTATACAGGAGGTAGTTTTTCTGTGCCCCCACCCCGCTCCTTTTGTTGAGGTCATTGGGAGGTACGCAATAAACGTGGCAAGGGAAAAAAAAAGGTGGTCTTGCAGCTTGGGCAGTTGAATAATCTCCTGGAAAGTCTCCCTACCT